ACCTAGCATGATGACTGTAAATCCAGCTAGGATAACCAAGAGTGATTTGGGGAAGGCTACTGTGGGTTTTATGTGCCCTATTCCATTTCTTCCCTCAGCATTCACTGTCCTGAACATTTTTCTACAGTACGTGAGGACTCTGCTTTCGTAGCATTAGTTGAAAGAAGATAGGATGATTGATGACAACAGTCTCCTCTCTATCAGGGACTCCACGGGAAGAGAATAGCTATGAGGCATAGAAGATGCTCATCTGGGGGCACTACCCAGCCATAACTGAAATCAGTACAGAGATGATTAAAAATTCATTCAGAATTTCAGGGCACAAAGGAGTATAATTTACATTTTTACTTATAAGTGTGGGTGCTGGTCCATGGTGGGTGCATATCACAGCTGTAGACCAGCTTCCAGATGACCGTGAGAGCTGAGGTTAGTCCATCTTGTCACTTTTATCTCCTTTCTGGAGCCCAGTCGCCTAAAGATTCCCTTGCAAGAGGAAGCTCCAGACCTAATCCATCATTGAGGAGACCTAGCAGGGTTAGGCTGGCCCCTACTAAAGCTGAGGGAGAGATTGTTCCACATCCTGCTCCATTTCAGAGAGGCACTTAGTGACCGCAGCAGATACCAGGCTGTGAATACCCAGGGAGGGATACACCTTTGACAGGAAGGGCTGAGAAAAATGCATAGATGTTGGAGAAGGATAGTGTTATTCAATGTACTTTGCTGTACATGTTGTGTTTTCTGAAGGCAGGCTGAAGAGGCTTTCTGATCCAGTGGTGGGTGTTTGCAGCTCCACTTTGAGCGCCTTTCTTTCCCCCTTGTATTGTACAGGACATCACATACCTGTCTTGGGATTGTGGATCCAATTAGGAATCCAGGAACCTAAGGATGAAGCACGCAAGCCTTGATTCATATTTGGATCTCAGCATAAGAGTCTGAAAAAGTAATATTTAATCGATTTCTTGATAGCTTTATTTTCATCCCCAGTTATATCCTGAGTTTCAGCTAGCATAGAACTGAAATACCCGAGTTATCCTACAAATATTAACAGTCTGTTAATGAAAGTAGGATTTGCCAGTTACTATTATAACTTCTTGGACTGATTTTGTACTATGTAATGCATCATCAACTTCATGCTGGCAGTACCTGAAGAATGGATTCTTTTTTGCCAGAAAGGCAATATATTGAAATGAACATGATATTTAAAGCTATGATAAAACATTTTCTACATTGTCCACTCTTTCCGAGGACTACTGCAGCTTCCAACACTCCTGTCTTGCACTGACCAGAACTTATCCTAGCATATATTAACTTTATGTCAAATAAAAAATGTCAGAGCTACAATCCATGATACATGAGTTTTGCCCAACAGAGTAAAAATTATCTAAAAATAAATTGGATGGTAGGCAATGTTAAAGAGATTTGTTTCTTGAAGAAATGGTGACAAGAGAGGAGAGCATCAAGATTAGCAGGGACAACTATTGTTAGAACAATGTCTACACAGTTTTCAGAGAGGAAGAAAATGTACATGACCCATCAGTTCAGTCTTGTTCCTTCCTTAACACTGACTTCACTGAAAACCTTTTGGTAGAAGTTGCTCAATCAAGTGAGATAGCGAGGTTAGCATACATACTTTGCTAATCTATTCATTTTGATTGAAATGTTTTTTGACCATCCACGTAAGCTATTCTAGTTGTTGATTGGGAAGAACAAGAAGACAGGATGGTCCAGCTGCAGGCACTGATGTGGGGTAGTCATCTTTTCCAGTGGTACATCCTGATCTGGAAGGAAATCTGCCCAAGGTTATTGTGAACATCTGAAATGGTGCTTCAGCGAGGATGCTGCCCTATCATATCACATAACCCATAGTGTAAAAACAGAACTAGTTTGTCCATCAGGAAATGAATGTCAGGTTCCCATCTCATTCACACTACTGAAAGGTAGAAAAAAAAAAACAAGTCTTCAATCACTTTTGGTGCAAATACTTTTCATATAGAAATAAAGGAATTCAGAAGCAAGGACTGGGAGGGCCCTTAAAAGACCACTCAGGCTTGCTCTCCTATTTCCCCAAGTTTACTCTAACCTGCTCATTCAAACTGCCAGGGTACAATGTTTCTAAAATCTCCCATMACTCTTGCAGTGCAATTTGGACACATCACTGTGATGTATTTTTCTAGTGTCTCATCTGATTCCACATTACTACAGTTTAAGACCATTCCTTGCTTTATCAGCCATCACTTGGAGAAGTGATAAGCTGTTCCCTGCTCACAGCTGCTTTGTAGATATATGAAAACATTTTTCCCCTCAGTTTGCACTTCTGCAGACTAAACAACCTCGGTTCCTTCATCTTTTTTCATAGGTTATGTTTTCTAGACCTCTAGTCATTCCTGTTGTTTTCCTCCAGATTCCTTCCAACTAGTTCACATCTTTTCCAGAAGTGCAGTGCCAAAAGCTGCTCTTCCAATATCTGATGTTCAGGCTTTGTTTGTATAAATAACTTAGGTTTTAATGATAAGCAATGTCTGAACCTAATAAATCAGTAAAATTTGACATGTAAAAGAAAGGTAGCTTCAAAAATGAAAATTGAAAATATGAATTTGAGTTTACTTTTAGCAATGCAGAGGTTTCTGGTGTGTGTCTGGAATACTGATATTTATCTGTGTGTATATATATGTATATACACACACACTCTTCCACCAATTAGTACAAACGTTTTTAATTGAGGCCATAACTGCTGTTTTTCCAACTGTAACTGATCTGGAGCCATATAGAAATGTTTTAAAAGATGAAAGATTAACTTCACAGCAATGAAAACTTTGGCAGATCTGTGATTGTTCACATATGCAATTATATTTAAAAGGACTATTTCCATTACTGCTATCTGAAAGAAATCAACTATTAACCATCATTTATTTTTCCATCAATAAGTTTATTTTGTCTTGCTGAGGGGAAAAAAATGAAATAGTTGATTTTATTTTGGCTATGATTTTGTTTCTTCCTATTAGAGATAGTATCAGTTATCAAAGCACAGATTTTCCACTTCCTAACTTTTACTAGCAATGACACTTTTGTTCATGGTCAAGGAATAGTGAATAGGACCCAAACACACCATTTCAACAGCTAACATTTGTTGCTATCAAGGAAGGCGTAAGTACGTAATGTGTGTGCAGAACTCTGTGTACTTTTCCTTTCACAGGTAGTGGGTAAAAATTCTTGATTACAAAATAACTGGAATTACATCAGGCAGAAACAGTTTGTTCCATTCATGGTGTGTTTTATAAGCTCTTAAGGCTATGGCTGTTCTCTGCAATACAGTGCCACTTGAGATACCTGAACCATCACCAACAGAAGCTCCATCCAGGTGGACTTGCTTTCTGAACAGTGCACTGTGTCACTGTGACGTGTAGACATCCTCTCTAACGTGCACCCTGGAAATCAAAGCAGCCTGACACCTGACAGCAATCCTTGGGATTCTCTCAGGCATTAGATATCTGCCTCTACATCCATGGTCACTTCCAAAATCCTCCCACATCTGAAGCCATGGTATGAACTTCGCTACAAAAAGAGGTCTAAGGTTCACAGAGAATAAGATCAAACTCTGGTTTTATTTTCAGCAGTGGAACCCAGCTGCATGAGGTTTATGTGAATAGAGTCTCAGGAGGAAACATCTTCTGTACCATAACTTCTGCTATTGACTCATTTTCTTAGAGGGAAATGAACAGTGCTTACGAAGATCACTGTTTCTAAGAAGAAATGCAGATCTTATTTATTCATTTGTTCGAATATTAGCACACTTCTGTCGAACATTCCCTGTAGAACAGGGAAACATTTAAATAGAGCTCAAAATGTGAACAGTATAATCCATTGTTTCTGATCAATATTACATCCCTTGTAGTTAATTTTAAATTTTTGTTATGCACTCAGATACTATGGTGACAAGAAGACAATAGAGAGGGATATATTTTAAGGAATCATGTTTTTATCTAATCATAAGCTCCTTTTACAATATCTAGAAAATCCTAAATACAGAGTATATAGCTATAACATGGCCTACTGAACCCACTGAAATAAACCCATCCTTAAATCACCCTCCCCTAATGGAAGAAGAAGAATAAAAGATTTTATTTTCTTAAATTATTAATACCTTACTTGAAAGAAATGATCCAACAAAAAGTAGATGCCCTTCTGATTTTTCGTGTACTTCACAACTTTCTTTTTTTGATGGCTTAACCCAAAACCATTATCAGAAGACTTCCCAGTAGAGGGAGGGGAAGAGAAACATTTCAAGGTAGAGACAGCCAGGAAGAAAGGAAACACCTACTCTCTCAAGATTTAGTATGTCTTTGGACTCTTAATAGTCTTTATTTTGGAAGGAAAAAGAATCAAAAATAGAAAATTAATTTGATAAAAATCATCCTACCAGAAGTAAGGAGTCTCTCAGCCAGGAGTAAAGCATTCTAGCATTACTGGCCTAACTGTTGTCAGATGTTATAAGGGGACCCCAATTTCATGTGCCAACCTGAGGATGATGGTGTTCAAGCTGTGTTAATGTTCTACTTTTTTTTTTTTTTTCAAGCAAGGGTTGCTTGAAATGCATGTAGTTGCATGGTGGCATGACCAGCACAACTCAAGTTTCCCACTCTCTTGTCATGGTCATTTCCAAGCTCTCATCCCCAAATGGACTAAATCAGGTGAGCAGTTTTATGGGATGATAAGGTTTAATTGAGTATATTTGATATTAATCATATTTCCTATGAGCTGTGAGCTAGATATGAAGGCTTCTCTATGTCCCCATCAATGAGGCTATTAAGTATTCACTCTCGTGGCTATCTGCAGAAACTCATATGCAACCCTGTTAACACAGTATTTGTATCTTGACACACATGTGAATATACTGCAGTAAGCATAAAAATCTTAGTAACAACAGAATTTTAGAGTCAAAAAATGACAGAATCAAATCTGGATATGCCAGGGTGAACCCGGGGACCTGTTCCAGCACCATTTCCACAAGAGATACATCCATCGCAGAAAATCACGAGCCAGCTGCTTCTCCACCTCAAAAGAAATGTTTGGTACAAATGAAAGTTAGGAAAACAACAATCTAACTTAGCCTTGAAGAAGGCATCAAGACATTACTCCAATCAGAAATTCCTAAGAATCCCAAGCAATATGCAGTCAGGGGAGATCTACATGTGGATCATCATAACCCTTGTTTGCCCTTTGTAAGACTACACTCGTTGCTGTTGGTTTCCTTCTATAAACAGCACTGAAGTAATTATCCCAAAATAGTTCTACTAATCTTTTTATTGGAGTCCATTAAAAATATAGTACTTGTGTAAGATCATGGCACATATTTAACCCTCTAACCAAGAAACTTTAACACAAACAACACAATTTTACAGCCATTGTTTCTTATTCCACAAAGCTTTTATGCCATGATGTATTTTCAAAGATTTGGTTGTGGTATTATGGATAATTGAACTGATTACAGAACCATGCAATCCATGAGCTGGAATTAGCAGCACAGCTGCCAAATCTGGCACACAGGTAAGCTGCAGTATAGTTTGCAGCAGAGCAAAGACTAATTGCTGTGGACATGCCATCCTGAGACATGTAAGTTCCCAGCTCCTGGAAAAGGAGTGAAGATCTTGCTTTATGAGAGAAGCAGTGGTCCCAGCAAGCAAGATGTGTGCAGGAACTGCTGCATTGCTGACCTCTGGTTTGGAGGAAGAGCCTCTGGCTTTGGACTTGTCATCTCAGGGTTTCCAGGCAGGGCACAGCCACTTGACAGAGGCAAACAAGCAGGATATCTAAAGGCCTCATTGCATTGCCCTGCTCAGTAGTGTTGTGAGTGTGCACCCACATGGAGTATAAGCCAGATATTTCACATGTGCAGTTCTGAAATGTCCGTGCACTGACGAGAGCTCTACGTGCCTACAAGCACATGTAAACGTACAGCCTGTTTACAGCTCATGAAAGAAAACACACCTCTGAAAAAGTGGCCCCAAAATTACACTGAGTGCCTCCAAATTAGTTTCTTGCAATGTATGCTGAGATAATTTAAGAGGTGATTATTCTCAGCTGCCTGCCCACACAGCCAGGAGTTACTGCCCGAAAGCTAAGACTTATTGTAGTTTTGGTGAATGCACCAGGCTGTGACCTTTGCAGTTCAGAGAAAGGTATATCACCCTTTCTGCTGCCTTTGCTACTGGGGTAATAGTGTCTGGCAGAAAAATGGGACAAGCACTTTAAATCACTCCTGCACGAATAACCAAAGTTCATCTCGAGGTGTTCTCTGTAAGGCCAAACTAGAAAATGAATGTCCTTATACTTTTTTTACTTCTTTTTTTTTTTTTTTTCCTATCCTACCTTCTTACATGTGGAGTTATGCTAAGGTCAAAATATATCAGTTCATTCAATAAAATTCTTAACACCAATAGATGCATTAAAAGGACAAATAAAATTCATAGTATCTGTAATTAAGCAGGAGAGGAAAAGCAGGTAAGAACAGATAAATCATGTATCATGCTTTAAAGGGAAATTTCACTTTCTGCAGGGGTGTCTTCCAGCTTTCACATTCCCCTGGAACAACCAGCACTTTTCTCTTTCTGACAGTGGAGTTTTAAATAATAAAATGCTCTAAACTAGAGCCAGAACCTCAGGAGATTCTGCAGACATAACATAGGTTGCATTTACATGCTCCTGATTATTCTGAATTCTGTAGTTCAGGCTTCTTATCTCTGTTAGTATAACTGCAAATTAGCACAATATGTTCTTTAACTGACTATGTCAGCAGACCCCACATTGCTTGCCAAATAATTATCATCAAAGTTCAAAGTCACCCTTGGAGGCTTTTATGTATAACACTCTATCTTTTAAAAATAATATATAAATATATATATTCTAAATCTAAGCTGTGATTAATGGCCAACTGATAGAGTTAAAGAATGCCCTTATGTGAATGTACCAATCACAAAAGTTTGCATTGGTGAAGTGAGGGTGATACCTCCTAGAAACTAAGAGGTGAAAACATTGTTTTTCATATAAGGTAGTATCTCTTTCCAAGAGACAGGAAAGCTCCTTTTTTTCAGAGTATGAGAGCTGATAGAACGACTCTTCAAAATGCAGGCAATGCACAAGTCTGGTCACAATGGAGGCAGTGATAATGACTGACATGGCAATGATGGGAGAAAAATCTAAAGAAGAAACGAACTTGTTGAAGGGAAGGAAAACACAGAAAACTTTTCACAGGTTGTGTGAATTTTAACTCAGTTCTGCTTTAGATTCTGTTAATAAATGAAAAGGAAATGATGAGTCACATTATTTGACTGGAGTCCCAATACTGGTAGGAGGCTGCAGGATAGGAAAATAATAGTTGCTAGGGCATTCACCATGGGGAAGAACAGAGTTTAGACCCCAACTGTACTAATATCACTACTATTGGCACGCTACAAATATGTACCAATACCAGCAGATTAGAGTCAAAGCTGCATATTTGGTTCAGAGATAACATCAAGAGGGCATTTGACTCATAGCAGGTGGCAAAGACATTTGTTTCACACATGGATGATGTAGCTTTAAATGACCTCAGTCCAAAAAGGGAAATGAATCAAATCACCAAGACACCCTGGGGCTTCAGCTTCCACTGAGTTTGGCTCAACCAAAATGAAACCAGACAGCTAAACCAAAGCTTTCCTGATTACCTTCTTTTTTCACAGCTGAGTTTTGGCCTGACTTAAACAACTTTTCCAAGACAATTGTCATCACACTTGATGGATCAGGTATCTCACAAGAAAATGCAATGTTCCCATGAATCCTTGAGCCATCTTAGAGCCTGAAGATAAGTGCACCACACACTTCTGCTAGGACCTGAGTGTGTGGGAAAAGGGACAAGTACTGTGTGATAGAGAAATGGATCATGATCCAGTGAGTAAACTGGAGTATACAAGACTTGATGGACAGCAGCAAGAAAGTGCCAAAGATGACAATTTAGTACACGCTGATCATGTGGCGCAGTCAGAAACCCTAACACAGAAGAAGCCCTTTGCCTGGTGCTGCTAGAGGGTACGTCCATCTGCAAGTAGAGAAACTTGTTTTTCTGTCTGATTCCTTTTGAATTTAAAGCAAATGGGTCTCATAACAGTTTGTTGTATTAAGAGAAACTTCCTGCACTGTCTTGCATAATGACTAACCTTTGGTGACAACCAGGGTGATGGTGCAAAGCCTGAGGCATGAGTAAGACCTCACTAGGTCTCCTACACATAACCGGCTCATCAGTTGCCTTTGCTTAGGTAAATGTCATATGTGCTAAATAAAGACTGTGACTAATAGATTTCTACTGAGAAGGAATGAGGAAAAACAATTGTTTTGTTGTTGTTTTTATTTTTAATACCTCCAATTACTGTAGACTAGCAACAGCTGCCAGGACAAGCTGTTCCAGTTTCATTCCCAGTGCCAGGGAAACAGGCCATTTTAAGGAGTGGTTCATATGGGCAAAGAAACAGAAATACCCAAAAAGCTTAAGTGTCGGCATACAGTAAAATATGTTTAAAAAAGCTGACAAACTTTTTGGGATAAAAGCTCCTCCGAGAAAAGCTCCTGAGGTGAATTATTACAGTTTTATTGTAGTCCTTGAGCTGCAAAAGGTATTTAAAAGCCCAGCAGGACATCACTGGAGCTTATCTAGGAGGGTCTCCAAAATCATGCTTAACCACTCTAAGAATTTTCAGAATTACCCTGGATTTTCTCTAAGCACAGTCTAATAGTTAAATTTTAAACTAATAGGATACTACAGGATATTATTGTCTGTATAGGATTCATCTGAGAAGAGGCAGAGCCCTGACACATCAAAACTTCAACTCTATGAAGTAATAGGAAATAAAATTCCAAATAAAGAAGATGTAATGTGTTTGCCACATCCTACCTTCTTTAGGGCTTGATTAAGCATTTTGTTTTCAGCTGAGCTTCTATGCAAGAAACAGCAATCCAGCAATCCTGTCCGTAGGTTCTGGATAGAAAAGATAGTTTYGTATCTATATCTGAGAGTACTTGCAGCAGAAGCATTTTAGACATAGCTAAATATGAGCTTAGTCATAATAATTATAATATGCATTAATTATGAATAATAATATTGGATAATTATACTTAGGATTTCATTGCTTCTTCAGTTCAGAATATCTGTCTCAGGACAAATTTTAGTATAAATTGCTCTGCTAAACAGCATATTTATCTCAATAGCCTAGAATCACCTGGACAAGTCTCTCAGATTATAATTCTTTAAAAAACAACCTCCAATTATTACAAATATTGTCAGCTCCACGTACTTCAGAAAACAGTTTCCTCTCTTCATCTTTTCAACTACAAATCCCCTTCTGGCTCCTCGATGTCTGTTTGGCATGGGAGACCATGCTCTTCTGCAAAGGAAAAACAGAAAAAATGATGAGATGGAATTGCCTTGTGGAAATTTGTTCTGATTTTTTTGGTGAACTATTTCTACTCTCCCAGGAGTTGCAGAATATTTGCTGAACATTCTTCTCTGTAAACAAGGTTTATTGTGTGGCCTATATATTTAGTGACAAGCTGCGTGGTCTCCTAGCAAAAGAAGAGATTGCATCTGTGGCACTAGAATGGCAGCTCAGTACACAGAGGGAAATTAAGTCCACCTCACAAAGRGGAAAGTAAACCCAAGACAACCTAACTAGAACTCTGCAGCATAATATGTGAAATGAAAATTGTCATTGGTTTCAAGCCAAYAAGTAAGCTCAAGGCAAGAATTTCTGTGAACTTTTTCTTCTTGAAAAACCAATGTTCCATCTGAAAGCAAATTTGAAAATGTGGGGCTGGTCACTTGCCTGCCCCTTTACTCTATCTGAATCAGATAATTCTTTGCASTAAGAATAATATGTCTTTTCTGTTCTATGTAGTACTCAGAACATTTGTGATTCCCTGTGGAAAATACTTTACTTTTTGGATGAACAACTGTAAATATTTTAAGTTCTGAAGAAAAAAGGACAACAGGATAGAACAATTCCTTCTTTCACATGATGGCATATGCCAGCTAATTAGCCAAATGGGACACTGAACACTGCAGGACACAGATGGCAATTTGGGGCTGATAGTCCTACGGCAATGGGACAGCACAGTGTTTGTTGGCAGAATATATTGCCATTTTTGTGCTGATGTCTGTGCAGTAGTCATAGCAGATCTTTATAGTTACAGAATCTCTCAGAATAGATGCTTATGAATTTATATATTTTTACTATCTCAAAAGGTTTAGCTTTACATTAACAAAATAGGCATTATTTTAAGATTGACTATGGTGATGGGAAGATTTATGGTTTGATTTATGGTTCTGCATAGGYCTACCAGCTCCATTTTGCCAAGAAATGCCCAGTTTACTCTCCTTCCACTGTGTGCTATGCACTATGTAAGACTATGCACAGGACAGTACATGTAGGTTAGATATATTCTCCAACCATGCAGCAGGGTACATTGTGGTACACCTTATCTATTAATTTCTTGGTATTATAGTAATCATAAATGCTTAATTTGGCCTTTTGGGACCAGTCTCTCTAATCTCTCTCCACAGTCAATTAATCCATCTTTAGATATCCAGAGTTACTACTCTGAAGGGGATTACCTCTCTGCTGAACCTCTGATCCTTATATCAACCTTTTTTGATATATTTCAATCTTATCTTAAAAATCATCACAGTGCTGGCACCAACCCAGGTTCTTTGGTGACTTGGCACCACTGCCAGCTGATTGTCAATGCTACTATTAGGGGAAATGTGACCAATAGCTTATGCACATTTTTAGATCCCTCTCTCTTGTTCCTCCAGGCACAGCAGAAAATAGAAAAGTCTATATTTATTGGAAATGCCCCACGAGGACTTTACATTCAGCTTCAGAGCTAATGAATGGCTTATAATTTTCTCTTTACCCAGACATCTTTATCCCTTTGGTTGCTGAATCCCACTGCACTTTCAGAGATTGAAAGTGCACTCTCTGCACTTTCAGAGATTGTGTATGACTTTACTAGGAAAATAAATTGGCCTGTAGCACAAGCTTTGCAGTGGTGGCATCCTATCAGTCACACTGCTGGCATGGTCTCTGGCATGGTTTGATTTCCCACAGACAATATTCAGGCATGAACCAAGAGAATGGAGAGCATGGACCAAGGAATGCTTCCAGCAGAGAATACCAGTGGGAACAGCTTAGCTGGCTGAGAAAAGACAGATGTTACTTCCATTGTTGCAATGTCACTTGCTCTTTGGGCCAGAAAATAGACTCTAACTCATATATATATTTAAAATACAAGTTTTTTTAAATGTATCTGTATCTTAAAATACAAGTATTTTAAATGTATCTGTAGCCCTAAGGATGAGCCCCTTCCAAATACAACTAAGTTTAATGGAAAGGAACATCTTCATCAGTTTGTTCTAGGTACACCAGTAAGAGGATACACAAAACCTTCAGAAGGACTGGGTTGTGCCTAGTTATGTCTGATAGCCTGCTCCCAAGCGTAATTTTTTTTTTTTTTTTTTTTTTTTTTTTTTTTTTTTTTTTATCACAGGACCCTAGAAGGAGCGTGCTATCACTGCAAGCCTCAGTCTGTTCTTTTCCTCAAGTCAGAGTGTGCATCAGTTCCCTTTAATACTACTTCATACTACTCTGCCAGGCTTCTCTCTTCTGGAAATACTTCTCACAATCTCTTTCCATCACACCCCTGATATCCTTCCAGACCTTCTCTCATTTCCTGGCTATTTTCCCCAAGTCTCCTTTCCCTTGTACCTCCTCTCACATCTTTTYATCTTTTTATCTGGTTTCCCCTATATTATACTGGTAGACAGATTATTCCTGAGCCCCATGATGCCAATGATTTCCCTTCAAGATTGCATCCCCCCAAATTCCTGTTATTAAGCCCTTAATCAAAGCTTAGCTTATGACACCAGCTCTTAAGGGCTAGCATGCCTGAGTGCAGCCACAATCTTACACTGAATTGTCRCTGTAAGAACTGAAGATACGTCTAGGAAAGCAGAAACAGCTCACATTTTGCAGGAGATGTATGCTTAACAATATATGACAGAGAAAAACAAGAATGCAGCAAAGCAGACCTATTGCAAATCTACTGCTGTGCTCATAAAAAAAGGAAGAAATGCTGTTAAATCTGCTTCAATGAGGTGTTTTTAGGACATGTTTGTTCCTTCAGCAGAGAAAACAAGCTGATTTTCCTGGAGCTGCAAGCCATAAAAGGTTATCTGCCTCCTCTCACCAGCACCCAAAAAGGCACATAAATGGATGATGAATATGTTCCAAATGCTGAAAAAGTCATTTGGTTAAATATATTGAATTTGATGCACAGAACCAATTTTAAATGTGAGATGAACAGGTGCAAACGTCACAGAATTTTCACCTGCTCACACAGATTTTGAACTAAGTACTCTTTAAGGAACACTTCATAAGACAGCTGATAAGTCACTTAAGCAATAGATTTAATGGAAACCCACATTAAAGAAAGGAAGACAAGCAAAAACATACTTGCAAATCATATGCTCCTACCAGGAATTTCCAAAAGAAGACAGACTTGAAATATCGCTACTAAAGCTTGAAGTATCATTGAAATTTTAGACTTGGTAAGTGTATGGAGGRAAAATATCACTTCTCTGGATTTGAAAAATCCCATGTCTACAGAGGAAATACCATCAACAAATTTCATATTCTCAGTGTTAGAGGGAAGAAAGATAGGAATAASTACTGAAGACCTAGAGGGTTTTTAAACTTTCCAAAGTATATATGGGCACTATCCATAATATATCTCATTCCCGTTAAATATGCAACTGCTTTTCAAATTCCTGAGGCCAAATATATGAGTGAAATGTCATCTGTTTATGGATCCTGTTACCTTTATTCAGCACCCCTATCTCCCCACCTCCCTCTCTTCCATCATTACTACTCAGTTTGTACAGTACATCCAGGACACAGAGCATCTTTCCCACTGGTGCTGAAAACAACTTGGAACACAATTAGCCTTGTCAAGTCCTTCACTGGTATGCCATACATGGCTGCCAGCTTTCCAGGCAACTCAATAATCCCTAGAGCACTGCTGCAGGGTCTGCGATTAACAGAGGTGTTTACATGTCTGAAAATGTACCAGGCTAAAAATAGAAGTAATTTTCTTAGCATCCTGTGATGTCGGGTTTGTTCTTTTCTCTTTCTTTCCGTTTGTCAGGTTGACGAAAATAAAAACGTTCACTTAATTTCTTCAGCTGATATAGATCATTATCAACAACAAAAAAAGAGAGCATCACTGCTCTGTGGTGGCAGAAGAAAGCAAATCTGAAACAAAATATTTTGTGTTGCAATCCAAAATTATAAAAGCACCCAAGAGAATGATAACAAATTAGCCTTCTCTGCAATAYAGAGCAAGTTCCAAATTGGGGCATCCAAAGTAAGCAGTCTAAAGATGGTGCTGAGTATCCCCACACGTATAGCAGAAACCCAGCTTGACTTTCCCCTCTGTGACTAACTTCCTAAAGGTTTGCTGGGCTAAAATCCATTAATGTAAGCACAAGATCAGGTTTTATTTCCCTGAAGCAGGAGCTCTGACACATTCAGAATCTTTGTGTTCACTTCAAGGCACAGAATGGATCATAACAACTCCATTCCTACTATGGGAAAAAGAGCAAATTCCCTTGAATAAGCTTAGGGAGCCAGACTCTTCTCGAAAATGTTATAGATTTACCTAATGTCTCTGTGTGCTGTATTTAGCACATGGTACTTGTGCTGAATGAAAAGTTAATACATTCACATGTCTGGAAGTAGCCATAAGTCACCTCACAATTAGAGATATTTAAGATCACAAACTGCTTTTGCAAGTGTAAAAATATTATCTTTGTGTTTCAGACAGAAAGTAACCCTTAAAGACCTTGTAAAAGTCATAATCACCTTGGAAAACTGAAAGTTTAAAGAAGGAGCAGAGATAGTAAGTAGTCCTCTAGAAATAAAGCTTAATTCAGGGAAGGAGAGAGAAGAGCAGATTTTTTTCCTATGAAATCGCTGCTTTCCACATGTCCAGGTSTCAAGCCTCAGATTGCTTTAAAAAGTGTTACCTGGGGCAAAACACCTAGGGAAGTCAATGTAAATTTTATCCCTGTAAATTATTAATGGAAAGATGATTTATTTCACCTCCAAATTAAACCTCACTTTCTATCTGTTAAAGCCATCACTTCATCTTTCCCTGAATCTCAGCACAACAGCTCACAGCATAATGTGATGTTAAAAAAGATTATCTGAGAACTCTTTACCCTGGGATGTCATTAATAAATTGCTCATGTGATTTTTGGTTGCAGACTTCTACACAGAAAGTTAT